ATTGTCCCATTTTGCTTGTTTTTGCATTATTAAAGCCATTTCCTCATGGTCCCATTCCATTTGTAATGTTTCTTTGCAAAAAAGTAAATAACAGAATTTTAAAATTTATTTTTGACTGTTACAGGCTATTTAAAAAATATAAATACGCAAACTATTAAAAGTACTTTTTTGTATTTTTTTAATCTCAGAAATTTTAAAATTTAAGTATTTTACAAAAATACCTATATTTTCTTCTTAAATTTCAATGAAATTAACATGTTCCAAGTTTCACTTTTCATCATGTGAAAAAACTGAAATGCTTTAGCTAGGTAATCTGTCTGTCATTACATTTGAAGCTTTTATAGCAATATAGTATTCTAGGTATTCATTATAAACATAATTCTCTCATCATGTCTAAGGATCTAGTCATGTGAATGAACTGCATGCATTCATATTTTTGGATGTATATTTTATTTGTACCACTTAGATAATGTAATAAAGTTGTTCTCAATTTAGTTTATTCTGACTTCTATCCTCTGTTCAATATCATTATTTCAACAACCAGTGGTTAATTGTCTCTATCAGATTTTAATGATCTGTAATTCATGGCCCTATTCCTGATTCCTTTACCAATTGCAATGTTGCTTTAGTAAGACTATGCTTGTATAACTGCCCCTCGCAGCAAATACATCAGGTGCTATCAGCCGCTTTATTGACTAATTTGGGGATAAAGATCACAACAGAAAACAGATTTAATCAATGGCATGGTTACTTATGAAATGAAATGTCTTATTTTTTAACCTGTTTAACATTATAATTGTTTTTTCCCACACCTTTCGTAGGAAATGTTAGAAGCACAATGATGAGCAATAATTTTTTTAGGAAAATGAATATCTAAACTATGCCAAAAATGGTCAGTTTGTTCAGAAATCGTTAAAAAACTCACATTGAAATTGCATCAATTATACACACTTTTCCTCTATTAAAGGTGCTTAATTTCAAAACAATACTGAAAGATTTGCTAGCAAATTGTTATGCAATGGTTCTACAAAGAATTAACCGCTGGGTAGATTTTAGCGACAGATTCAGTCTGGTCTATCTTACAATCAAAATGTGTGTATTATCAAAGCGCAGCAACCGCTTTTACGGTGTCCATCGGTCTACAATTTCTCGGCTTCACCAGCGCTTTCGCACTATACTTCAGCCCCGAAAGGCGTCAGATTCCACAGGCGAGTCTATCCGCACCCGTAAGGTTATGAGGCGACGATGTACATATGTAAGAAACACTGACTGCGAGAGATATTGTCCGTTTCTAAAAGATTCGAGCTGCACTCGACGCTTCCCGCAAAGCGGTATGACATTACTCGAATATATACAAGTACGATTATGAGTGTACTTTTATAGTTTTGGCATTTTCATTTATGCTTCTACTTCCCTTTGTTATAGTTTGCACTTATCCGCTGTGCATGAATAAAGTGATAATTCTTGGCGTCGGTATTGTCACACTAAGTTCTTCTTGATTAATTGCGTTGTACATTTGATTTTAAACATGTTTGAATTATTCTTCAGTGTTTAAGTTTGTCTCTTTTTGTTATTGAAGTTATGATATATAACATTACTCAATTGGAGTACGTTAGCTTGTTTCTGTTTTATGTAATAAAATGCATTATTATGTGCGGGCGTGCGGTATTCATTGTCCTGTTTAATGTATTATAAGCTACTTTTCTTCATGCTCTATACAAACTATTTACGGTTTAGTTCTTTTTTGTATTACTTTTATGTAGAATTCATTTAAAATCGACTATTTGTATTCCTTGCCCTGCTTCCTTTTGTACACCTAAAATTATACGATGGATTTTGTTAAAGTGTGACTTATATGATTTATCGCTCGCATGGCGTGATTACTATTAGCTTACGCTTATTTCTATTATTCAGCGTTTATGCTAAATAAAGCTCGGTGTCTTGTGGATTATGTTTGATCATCTTACAATATATATTAACAATTTAAACGATGTCTGGCGATTGTGAACTGTTAAGGGGTTATCGAGATCAACGGAATTTTTCAACATTTCGCCTATCATCGGAATTTTCCGTATATAAACTGCGGTATTCTTTTGCGTATATATAAATACGTACCAATCACTAAATAAAAAAATTACCCAGAAAAGAATATAAATATAAGTAGAAAAGATTATGCGATAAAATTTTACATATGTATACAGTCTACATGGTCTAATAGAAAAAAATATATTCGTGAACGGTTATTTAATGGGGCAGTTATACAGTGGCGGCGTCAGACCCTGGCTTAAGGGCTGCACCCCCAGCTTAGTTGAGGCCCACATGGAAGATTGGGTAACCAAATGTGTATCCTCAGTAAATAAAGACTTCACTTACTTACTTACTTATCGGTTCGTGAAATTAATTTTACTTTTTAATAATCAAGTCATTAGAAAAAGACCTTTGTAGCAGACCTTTGTAGCACCTAGGCAGGTGCTTAAAAACTGGATGACAGCTTGATAAGGGAGTACACTATGAATACCATTGCATAAAACTGACACGTATATATTCCATCCCAGCTCATGAACGTATCTTTGGGCTGAGTAAATAAGTAAGTAAGTAAGTAAGTAAGTAAAGTAAGGTAAAGTAGGGTAAGGTAAGGTAAGGTAAGTAAAGTAAGTAAAGTCAAGTAATATAAAGTAAAGTAAAAATTAAAGTAAAGTAAAGTTAAAGGTGCTCCACTGAGGTACGGTCGAATGTCACAAAAAAGTAAAATTAAATTTTATGTCTCAGAGTCACAAATAGTGGCGAATAGGTGTGTTACGCAGTACAATATATAATACGGAAAGAAGGAAGTTCTTTATTATTGTGACATGTGCATAGCCAACAACAAATAATGAGCATATGTGTATAATTATAGTAAACGGGCCCAATGGGCTTATAAGTCACCAATTTACTGTGTCACAGACACCTCTCACACACCACCACACATAAAGATATACTATGCGCATCTTTCAGTAATATATTTTTATTACAGAAATTTATTGAAATCTATTAAACTCTTACTGAATATGTCTTATCTAAATAAAATCAAATACACACAATGTATAGGAATCTGCGTTCCTTATTACGGGTCAAGAAAAGTAGTGCCTTTCTTAAAAAAATGCCATATTCTTTTAATAACACTATATAATTATATTCATACTGTCCACGTAATTATAGTGTATAGGGTTTAAAGCAAAAATATTTGTGTGAAGCAAAATTATATTTTTTTGATATTACAAAAAGACTGTGAAGCAACAATCAGTATTTTCAAATATCAACTTTGAGCATATATATATATATAGTATATCTTTAAATTCTATTGCACATACGACTACGGCACACGCTCAAAATGTTGTATAAATAATGCAAAAGAGGTGTTTTGTCACTTGTAGGATGAGTTATATGAGAAATCTATTACATTTTTATCACATGCTGGCCAAATCTTCAAAAACACCACTTTTCGACTGTCGCGTCGTTTTCTATTGATTTTCTCAAAATCTTCCACTTATATGTCACCCCCCACTATATCACTGTTCGGTATACGCCCCTATATAAAGGGGACGCAACTTTGTTTACTTCACGTGCCAAAATAACGAGGTGTACCGACAAAGCGACACCTGCTGTCATAATATGTAAACAAAATATTGCAACTCGCACTATGCTTATCGCCAACTGCTTATGCGTACTGTAACATGCGACTATAATATTGCTATCGTTGTCATCTTCGTTTTCGATGCGCATTGATCATGTATTGCTTTATATTTGTAAGCAGTTAATATATTGAACCATATAAATGCTAAGACATGTCAAATTCGCCAAGTATTGATCAAAATCAATTATTTATTGTGAACAAGTGTCGACAATGTAAGTGGCAGATTTAGAGCAAATTAAAGGTACTTACAGGAACTTACCATTTTACATCTAGTTATATCAAGAACAAGCAAAGAATGTTATCTTAAACACCAAACATAATACGATGTCCTTAAATAAGATGCAATTAAACATATAGCATATTAAAATATGTGAGTTTGATGGTTCAGAAAGGAACACATGAAGTTGCAATTACATGATAGTGCATTCAGTAATCATAATGCATGATTGTATTCAGCAAAACGTAGGTTTCCATTGTCATAAAGAAGTATGGAAGCAAGCATAATGTAAGTCCAAATATCATCAAGCAAGATTGAATAAATGCACTAATTCTGTTCCATACATTTCCGACAGCCTTGCTGTTGTGTTGATCTTTTCGTTGTGTGTCTGTCTTGTAATCAATTGGTCTTGGGATCAAATCCTTTTCAGTGGGTGAAGATTTTGCAGGTTAACAATGATCATGGTGGCAGTGATTTTTCTTCAATTTTCAAAACAACCTGTGGCTTTCTGAAGGGGAAAATATAGCGGGAAAATCAAATTCCAACTTGTGAGAATGGAATTTACCCATACATTAAATGAAAAATCAATTTTAATTCAATTTACCATGCATGCTACTAGCAGAGGCTATCTATACGGACAGCTTTCTGTCTTCTAACTGATATAAAAATCGGGAAACAAAGTGATCCCTCGGAAGCTGATGTTTAGTCATCATTCTGGTGAAGAATGTGCACAGGCGTTTTAGGGGAAAATATTAGCATTTTTAGGGGACAATATACCTATCTTGAGCTAGGGGAAACAGCCTTTATTCGGCTGTAAAATACAAGGGGAAAATCACTGGGGGGTGAGGGTAAAATAAAAATGACAATGATGTTCATTTGTCATTTGTGGGTATGAAGAATCCGCTACATTTCTAATACCGTAATTCAAGCTATATTGCACATGATTTTCAAAAAATAAATTTCTAATCTCCTCTTCTATTCGCAATTAATCAAAGTTTTCAGAAATACAGCTAGAACACTAAAAATATTTTTCACTCGCGTCGATTATGAGTCGGTCATGGTCGGATGATCAATATGAATTCAACTTCCTTGAAGAATGTAGGACTACAATATAGCATATATAGTGGTGTTTATCAGTTTTATTTTGACATAAACATTGCATGTAATGCCTAGGATACAAAATTATCGAAAATCTCAATAAGCTGATTTATTTTGACAATATGCACTGTGTTAAACAATTCAGGTATTGAAAAAAGATAAAACAGATAATGGTAAGTTTTTTAAATTAATATTCTATTTTTTAAAACATGACTTTATTTTAGATGAGTAGGCCTACATACGAAACATATGTACATGTTTTATATGAAAGATTTTAAATGTTTGTAACTCAGATACTACCGTGAAAGAAATGGGCGGAAGAAGTTAATGGTGGCATGCACAGGGCTGGGAATCAAAACTGCGTCGTATCCTACAAAATGTAAACAAACGCCGCCATCTTGGAACGAAAAACGTATGTTTTTGTTTATAACTCTTTTTGTTGGATATGACTGGAAACCAGATATATGTATTAACACGCTACACTATTTTCCGCTTCGTTCGGTATATTTTGCTTGCACAACTATTTTGTAGAACAAAAGTTATAGCGAACTTGCAACTCGAAGCGGAGCAGAATTTTTATGATAATGTGTGGATACTACGCAGTTCATATTGCTTTATGTATCGTTTTTTCCTTCAAATAAATTATATACTCATTTCAGAGTAAACCATTAACTTCGAAATATAATTTTGCATCATTTACTAAAATTTCATTAAAAAGAGATGTTTATTTTTTTTAAAAAATAATGATTTTTACTAAATGATACGACGCTGTTGAAAATAAAATATGATACGACGCAGTTGTATTTTCATTGCATGCTGCATATTGGTTCAGCTTGTAAGGCAGTCTTTTCAACAGGGGTAATTTTGGCAATATATGTCTATTTTATGAAATAATCACTTGCGCTAGATAAAAAACCCTGATTATTTGCGGTGAATAGCGATGTTCTGTTGCTTTTGATTATTAAAATACATTGTGTCATGTACAGTATATAACATTTTTTACATTGCGGAGGCTACTTTACAGTTAAACATGACCATGTTACTTAATTTATCATAATTTTTCTAAATAATTTCTTATATTTTCCTGTATGTTCAATATTATCCCTATTTTTTGTCAAAAAATATAGAAGTATATGAACCTGAATTTATTTTAGCTAGCTACGCTCTAAGTAAATTGTGGTTCTGCATGTTCTGGGTAATGAATGTACTTTTAGCTCACCTGAGCAATGCTCAGGATGATCTATTGTGATGGCCCTGTGTTCGTCGTCCGTCGTCGTGCGTCGTCAACTTTTAACATAAACAACATCTCCTCTGAAACCAATGACTGCACATCAACCAAACTTTACAGAAATGATCCTTGGGTGGTCCCCTTTCAAAGTTGTTCAAATGGTTCCGGTCTGTTGCATATGTAGGTCATAGGGACAGAAAAGGATTTCAAAAAACACAAAATTAGAAATCTTCTTGTCTGAAAGTACATGGGCCAGAGCTTTGATTTTTGGTATATGGTATCATCTATGGGTCCTCTACCAAAGTTGTTCAAATTTTGTCCCTAGTGTCAAAATTGGCCCCGCCCTGGGGGTCATAGGTTTTTCCTTATATGTATATAGTAAAATCTAAAAAAATCTTCTTCTCTGATTTGGCAAAGGCTACAGATTAGATATTTGGCATGAAACATTGTGTAGTAGACCTCTATCAAGATTATTCAAATAATGGCCCTAGGGTCAAAATTGGCCCCGCCCCGTGGGTCATTGATTTTCATTACATACATATAGTGAAAACTTGAAAAATCTTCTGGTCTGAAAGTAAATGGCCTAGCGCTTTGATATTTGGTCTATGGTATCATCTATAGGTCCAAAACCAAAGTTGATCAAATTTTGTTCCTAGAATTAAAATGGGCCCCGCCCTGGGGGTCATAGGTTTTTCCTTATATGTATATTGTAAAACCTAAAAAACTCTACTTCTCTGAATTTGTAAAGGCTACAGGTTAGATATTTAGCATGAAACATGTTCTAATTGGTGTCTACCAAGTTTGTTGAAATAAAAGCCCTGGGGTCAAAATTGGCCCCGCCCCGGGGTTCATTGATTTTCCTAATATGTGTATAGCAAAAACTTAAAAAATCTTCTTTGAAAAAACCCAAATAGCTAGAGTTTAGATATTAAGCATGAAATATCTTCTAGTGAGTATCTACCAAGTTTGTTCAAATAAAAGCCCTGGGATCAAAATTGGCCCCGCCCCAGGCGGTCATTGATTTTCCCTAAATGCATATAGTAAAAACTTTAAAAAAAAATCTTTTAAAGAATGCAAAGAGCTAGAGCTAAGATATTTAGCATGAAACATGTTCTATTGGATGTCTACCAAGTTTGTTCAAATAAAAGCCCATGGGTCAAAATTGGCCCCGCTCCGGGGTCATTTATTTTCCTTATATGTGTATGACAAAAACTTAAAAATCTTCTTTGAAAAAACCTGAATTGTTAGAGTTCAGATATTAAGCATGAAACATTGTCTAGTAAGTGTCTACAAAGATTGTTCAAATAAAAGCCCTTGGGTCAAAACGGACATCTTCTTAACAAAATAATTTGTAGTTTTATCATTTGTAACTCGATTTTGAAAATTTAAAGTTTGTAAATGGAGAAGAATGATACTTTAGTGCTAAAATAGAAAATACATTCCGTAGACCTGTTCTCATCGGCGATAAAGAAATGCAATACGACAAAATCAGCGGTAAAGTTCTGCGGCGATGAACATAAAATGACTGAACGCATACTTGTAAAAATCTATCGTAGCTTAACCATTTATGATATAATTTTAAAAAATATAACATTCAGTTTCAAATAATAAAGCTCATCTGTTCTCACCGATTGTTAACAAAATGAATACAATAAAATTTGCACGTAAAAGACATAATAACGGAATTGACGGAAATTGTTGCTAATTATAAGTAACAAAATTAGTCATGCAATTTGTGCATACTTCTCTTCAGATAGCAAGAGACCTTTACAAAATGTGTAATTCTTTAATTTTGTTTTTTAGGGAAAAAAAAAACAACAACAAAGGTTATTCCTGATTGATACAGGGTCCAGGAGAGGTTACCCTGGAATATTGAATTTTGTATGAAAATTCTGTAAATGAAAAAAGTAACCACCCCAATTTCGAACTCACAGGAACAAGTTTATAAGCATGCTAAGGCAACACTAGAACATTTTGTCATATGGGTGTGCGATCACGTGTTTCAATGTATATTGCATTTGATACAGCTTTTCGGAATTTGTAGATGCTTATGACAGGAACTGAAAATGCGACCGAAAAATAAAGCCTTAATAGAATTTTTATTACTTTTTCAACCAATGAGTGACCTCTGCTTTTGACTTTAGTTGTAAACAAGAAATGTTTGTGAACGTTATTAGCATACCTAGCACATAATTTAAAAGCTGAACCAAAATGCAGCCTGCAATGAAAATACAACTGCGTCGTATCATATTTTATTTTCAACTGCGTCGTATCATTTCGTAAAAAACATTATTTTCTTGGAAAATAAGCATCTCTTTTTAATGAAATTTTAGTTAATGATGCAAAATCATATTTTGAAGTTTATGTTGAACTTAAAAACGAGTATACAATTGATTTGAAGGAAAAAAAGATAGATAAAGCAATATGAACTGCGTCGTATCCACACAATTTTCACAAAAATTCTGCTCCGCTTCGAGTTGCAAGTTCGCTATAACTTTTGTTTTACAAAATAGTTGTGCAAGCAAAATATACCGAACGAAGCGGTAAATAGTGTAGCGTGTTAATACATATATCTGGTTTCCAGTCATATCCAACAAAAAGAGTTATAATCAAAAACATACGTTTTTCTTTCCAAGATGGCGGTGTTTGTTCACATTTTGTAGGATACGACGTAGTTTTGATTCTCAGCCCTGATAATATTATACCTAGTTATATATAGCCATTACGGTTCAGATTTCACACATGAAAGTGTAAGATTGATTGATACGGAAGATCTTTCTAGAAAAAGCTCTTAGTCTGTTGATTACTAAAACTTTTTTTGAGCTGATCAGATACACACCAGTATCTCATTGAAACTGCAAATTTTACTCCTATCATATTTAATAATTGTAAACAAATGTTGATTTTAGACCCGTTTTGTGTAGGAGAGTAGCTTTAAATGTATTGAGAATCTGCTTTATTCACTTGAACTCGCTCCATCAGGCGTTTATCTTTTTCATCATTGAAGAAGGCAAGATCAGCTTCCAATTGTCTGTAAAAAGATGTGATACATGCCAAGAAAAAGATTTTCTTAAATGTGCATTGAAAACCTTTTATATCACCGGGAAAAGTGCATACTGAAGGAAGTTTGTTAAAAAAATAAAGATATACATCCACCAAAACTAAAATCTTTAAATACATGGTTCACAACTCGTACTTTTTGGCTTAAAATTAATTTGTTTGGCTAATACTCTATAGAAATAACATAGAGATTAATTCTATTTTGTGTTCATAAAGGGGATGATGATGTCATGTCCGCGGTCCGTAATCTTTTTCTTCATTTTATACCCTTTTTTCAAGATGGAAGTGCTGTAAATATACGTTAACGAATGTGAGACCGTGAATCAATTACAATGATCGGGCAGTTAGAAAAAATACTAAAATATTAAAGCTGCATGCCTCCAGATATAATAGCCAAAATATTAGAAAACCACACTTGAGAAAAAGGTACTAAGATTTTATGAAAAGTAAAAAGATGCAAGATTTCTTTAATAATTATATTGGAATAATGACTGATTTTGCAATATTTAATCACCATATTTCTACTTAATGACAAACGCATTAGGGTTATTGTTTTGCATAATTTTGGACATCTATTTAGTAATTTTAATTGGATTGTAAGTGCCGTTGCAGTGTGTAACTTTTTTTCTTTTCTCACTTCAAACTATTTTAACTTTTAAATACATTTTCATTTTTTTTTGGTAAAAATTGGCATGTATCTGGAGCATGCTGCTATAGAACCAATAATCAATAAAAGACAAATACAAACAATTACATCAACATTTTGAAAATAATAAATGAGTCAGCCAGTCAAATACAAAATACATTGAATATCCTAGTCAAGTTTTCATTGTTATAAAACTAGTATCTTGATATGAAACATACGGAAGCCCACTGAGGCCGTTT